AACTTCAGTATTGTTTTCACTTAATTTATCTTAGACCGGCAAGTGAAAGTCATTACACCTTATTAATCCACCTTTACATTAGGATTACGGTATTATAACGATTTTTGATGATTTTATAAGTACGATTTATTATATTTAAACAGTTAATGACATTAAATGTTAATGTAACTAACTGAGTGTGTCTAATTAAAATCAATTTTTGTTGAATAGGTATTTTACCATCTTGGCGATATAAACCTCGAGCAAGAACACTTGGATAATCAGTCTTCTACTGCTATAACGTAACGTTTAGAAAATTTTACTGTCTTCAAGAATCATTCATATATCCTACTTATTGATTTTTAAAACCATAACTTTCAACTGAAATATTCAAAATACGGGCAAAAAAATTAACTTTGTGTCTCCTTTAAATATCGTATCAATTGCGTATCTATTTCCGATTAATTGAAAACATGCCTTTTAAATTTATCGCTCGTTATGTTATTATTTATTCTTTTATGTCAGTGTTAGTACACGGTGATGAAAGTGATCCTGATATGCCACCTCAAGACATTCCTGACCCTCCACCTTTCGCTAATAACCCTGGCAATCCGTCTACCTCTAATCACAATGGCAATCGACCTAGTAATCCACCCTCAGATGATTGTCTACCTCTCGGTTGTTGCCCCTTACCTTGTAAGAGAGACTTAAAATGGGCCCAAAATCATTGTAAAAATGGTATACATGATTATAGTCCTTATGTAATTGATTGTGTTTGTTGTAACTGACGATTTCAATTAGTAGAGGCCCAATTGCAAATTATTATGCAAATTCAATAAAAATGTTAAGTATTCCAAAAGATCTTTCCGTGATTTATTCTTATAAAGAAGCACACTCACTAATTGAGGCACTGCAAACAATTAAATTAATTTACACCTACTCACCACAAAGAAATTGAGATGACATTAAGTGCATATACCCTTATAATAATATAGTATAATAAACTTGCTGTGTTAATTATATAATAACGTTATTATTGCATATTTAAAAAATAAAACATTAAAATTCAACTTTTGCCCGTACCGTATTTTTGTAATACATTTATCATTAGTGATAAAATAAAATAATTTTTAATTTCTGTTCATTTGTTATATTGATTACTTTGGGTCAGTACTTACTCATCGTATTACCTATGAAGATCCTGGGGGACTGTAGTTATTGGTTTGTGATATTGAAAACTACAACTCCAATATTAAGACAAAACAATTACTTTCATTGTATTTTTTTAAAATAAAATACGTTTTTTTTATTTAACTTAATACGAGTCCTAGGCAAATGAATCAAATTTAAAAAGACTTATTTTAAACGTTAATTTCTCTGAAATTTGTGTGTAAAGAACTTTTTTGTTTTTTATCTTCTGATTAGTTAATATTCAGATATAGGGACAGACAAGAGAGTGTCCAGAATCACAAAACTGCTCACATTAAACGGAAGACCTTTATATTGTTTTTAGGAGGCCGGTATGTGTACTGTTGATATAGGTATAAACTCGTTGAAAAATGCAGTAGTATTTTTCCGTAACAAGACTTAGCTTAACTTTAGGTCTTAACTTTAGGTCAACGTTAAAAATGCATACCTAAAATTATTCTTGTACCTACCTCTTTTATTAAACTTTTTGAGTACATTTTTTTTTCCTAATATATTAATATACGACTGCAGTTTAAACATACAATAAGTATAATCATCTCATTTTTCCCCACCTCCCACCCGTAAAAATGAAAAAAATAAATCCATCTCGGGGAAACCGTCAGGTGCGTGCATATTTTTATTATATTAATACATATTTTGGTAGATTAAGTCGAGATTATTGTCGAGAATTGAAATTGCATCATTTATTCAAACAAAATATTACAATACGAAAACCGTCGTGTATAAAATAATTGTTCTCTACGGCTGCATGTAAGCCGTTTCAATTCACGGTTACACATACACAATTATATACCTATCAGCTATTATACATTATTCTGTAAAGGAATAGTTAATAATTTATAACACCTCGGGTAAGTACACGAAATCATAATACAAAACATACTTTACATGTTGTGATATTAATATTTTTACAACAATCCCATGATTTTATATTCATTAAACACTATAATATTATATTTTTTCGGCGTATTCAATTTTGCTACCGCAAATAATTGAATTGTTGCAAAATTAGCCAGGTATAGATAAATTCATTGAATTATGATGTAATCTATATCTACTGTAGAGATTATCCAGGAGATTTCTGAACGCAAACGCTGCGAATTTGACATTATTATCAACGGACTCGCCGAATCCCCAACTTCCAATTTGCCTACCAAAATCAATGATGGTTAATCAAATTCCCGCTCTCTTCTCTCGAAAATGTCAATTATCTTGCCTACTGACTATACATTTTTTCACAAGGCAGATCACCCCCCTCGTCTCCACGCCCATTCAAGGTCATCATAATAGTCCTAAAGAAGCATCTCGTATTTCAACTACTTTTCGCGCCGCCAATCTCTATATGATATTAAATCAATTGCCATTGTCCATGATAAAACCCGTCTGGAACGTGACCGCGAAATTCTGTGGTTGTCATCTAGAATTGGATCACAGGATATTAGCTAGTGAATCATCTACTTCTCCATTTGCTACTTAAATGTTATCCCTCAAATCATAAAAAAAAGAAGCTAAAAAACTCATCCAACCTACACTGCCTTCTTCAGAACAAATGAACCCGTCACACTGTATCAAGAAATCTAACTTAAGTAAGTTGCCAAATTTTATACCCCGTTCCGTAATTATACTTCTTACCTTGTAAAATCACTTTCTCGCTCTAACACAAATTCATCAAATTCTCAAATCAATAACAGATTAATTGGGTACTACCAAAATGTCCGTTGACTCCATACTAAATTCAATTTAATTTAATATGCAATAGCCCCTTTTCTCATAACTTTATTATTCTTACGGAAACATGGCTAAATAATTCAATTATTATATTATTATTATAATTTGATGAGGAGTTAGATTTCATACAGCACAATATTTTTAGAGGTGATAGGAGTTGTTCAACTTGATCTTATAACCGTGGAAGGAGTATTCGTTACTATTAATAAATCTTTTAGTTCTAAATTACTAAATATTAATGCTCTTAATGTTGAACAAATGTTTGTCGAAGTCATAATTAATAATTGCAATATAATCATTTGCGCAGTTTCTTTACCACCTAACAGTAACATTGATATTTTTATAAACCACTTATCCGTAATTGATTAACTAGTTACATCTTATCCTAATAGTAAATTCTTAATCTGTGGTAATTTTAGTATCCCATCTCTTATACTAAGAAATATTATAATCTACTAACAACTATTTTTAAATTTGTACAAAGAAATATCATTGTACCAATGCCATTTAAATCAAAATCCATCCTACGCATTCAAACAACACACAAAAAAACATAAAAATCATATAAGCTACTCTTGTTATATAATTTTTTCTTTTGTAAAAATAAAAACAACTCATGTAAATATTGTGAGGACACGATACCAAAAACCAAGCATGCAATTTGTAATAAATTCTTGTAAATTGTTTTGTTTAAAACATGTATGTTGACCATGAGGAGGTGGTCATTCAAATACTTGGTTGCAACTTGTAATTTATTACATATCGAATATTTGTAAAATAAACTGAAAAAGTGACGTAGTAGGTACAATTACCAGTTCTATCACAAAAAATATCAGTGATGCCATATGAGTACGCCATAAAAACAGTTAAATACACGTATTGTTCACACACTGGCGCCCCACGTAGTCACTGCGGCGATCGTATGGAAGCCGCCAGGGTGGATTCTGCGTATTGAATAAGATACTAGACGCGTAAATCTTTTTACCGAATCTTCACTTCTCTGGGTTCGCCCAGCGGAAACTCATTTTTTTTGCTCATCCAAAATCCTTATTACCTACATCTTTCTAAACCTATACAGCAGTTGTAGATACTATAGGTGGGCTGCTGTATTTGGTTAATCCGCATTTTCTTAAACCTGGTAGTTGCACTTATTTTCACCTTGTTTTCTGTCGCACATTAAACGTGTCTATTATTTTTCTCATACAACCCAATACAAACACATACATAATATATTAGGCCTGACTGTCTTGAGCTCAAACCTAACATACCGCGGTCTGTGGTCGTCACTCAGGATAAACGATTGTCTATAAATTGTGTATTATAGTAAACATTTTTATAGCAAAATGCTTATACAATAATACGTCGGTAAGCGATTCGTTACACTAGATGCATCTCCTGCAGTTCGTTACTTATTAGCCACCCGACGTCTGAGTATAGTTACATAAATATATATTAACATAATTGAACTGGTGACAAAACAATTAAAAAACCTACTTGTGTTTATTGAAACAATTCATCGAAACCTACGCATCCTTATACCTGCTCCTTATATTTTGAGCAAAGAACTTCTTGCCAACTTCAAGCAGTATACCAGAGTAAGTGATTCCATGTTCTCATAGTAGAACATCAAGTAAAATAATAAGTGGATGCTAATAAATGAATAAGGAAAATAATCTCGTGCGGTAGGTAGCCATCGGTCAACATAATACGTCCTTATATTAGTATGTATATGTATATGACAACGATGACCATGTAATAATCACACACACACACACAAACGATACACACGCATATTCATCGACGGACAAACTGTCGTGCATCCGTAATCATAATACGAAGTAACAATATCACTTCACACCATATACTAATATAATAGGTGTCTATTATATCTGACTGTTCATCTCTCATCCTCCACATCATATTATTCTACACTTCTATCCTTCCCCATTTACTTTATATTTGTTTACTTTTATTTTTATTCTACTACAGACCAGCAACGAAATATAATTTAAATGCTCCAACTTCATTTTCTCTTATCTAGGTAGCATTATTATAGAGGGCTTTTCATTTCTTGGTTTTGCACAATTTAATGGTATAAATAATTCTTCAGGTAATGTATAAGATTTAATTTATTTAAACCTACAAGATTGCTGTACTAAAGTTAAGAAAAAAAACTAATATTGTCACCACTAATCAAGAATTCTTCAATTATTTTAAAGCTGACTAGAAGAAAATTAACTTATTTTTTAATTCATTTAATTGGGAAAAACGTTTATTAATATGAATGTCGATTCCGCTACTATTGCATTACACTATGCTCTCTCTAACTTCGTCTCTACCCAAACAATTAATTCCAATTCTGATTTCCCCTATTGGTTCACAAACAATTTTAAATCACTGGTTTGGTCTTTTAAATTAAATGCTCATAAACGTTATATCTAAACCAGGACAGTTAATAATTACAACCATTTCTCATATCTCAGAACTCAATATAAAATATAGTCTAAATGAACTTTTTCCAACTTTGTCAATCAATCTGAACGTAATCTCATATCCAATCCAAACAATTTTTGGAAATGGGTTTCGAAGAATATCAAATCTAATCACATACCTAATACTTTACACCTGGATGACAAAACATGTAACAACGGGAAAGAAATTTTGAATCTTTTTTAACATACTTTTCCTCAGTGTTCAGACAATGCCCCTTAAGTACCAACACTCATCCTCGCGAAATCAATGAACTCAGTTCAGCTCTCTCTTCCATCTGAATGCCATATTTCTCTAAATGAAGTCACAGATGGTTTTCACTTTTTATTAAAATCCACATCTCCTGGTCCAGACAGAATATTCGCTTTCTTTTTAATAAACTTTACAAATTCTATAGTGTATCCAATATTCTTGTTATACTGTAAATTTTTAGCTGAGGGCATTTTTTCCTCCATTTGGAAAACAAGCTCAGTTATACCAATGTTTAAAAAAGTTGATAAAAATAATATTAAAAACTATCATCCTATTTTTAACGTAAAACGGTAAAATTTACTGTAAAACAGTAGGCATGAAATTAGCTGTTTATTATACTCAACTGATTCTACAAAGCTATACACCGCGATATTTTATAACATTTATCATTGATTTAAAAATATATATTAAATTGTTATAAAATAATTCGAAAAATATTCTAAAATAATTTTTAAATAAAGATACGGAAGAAAAATGGAAACCAGGATCAATTAAAGAATACTGAATCTAGGTAATGATGCCAAAAAAAAATTACTTAAGGTCATTAAAAAAATTAGCCATATATTCCTCCATTAGAGAAGTATTTAGTTATGAAATTATATTTCTAAATTTTAATTATTGCTGATTGTGCTTTAAACATAATGCCTGATGATAAATTATGATAATAATAAATCGTAATAATGGCAAAATAAAATGTGTCCAGTTTTTTCATCTGGTCATTTTAGCATTTCACAGATAATAGTGCACAGAGTACACACAAAGTACACTCAAACATTAAACAAGCATCATATTTATTATACAAATTCTTCTATTGAAAATCACTAAAACACTCACGGTCCGTTGCGTTTAATGTTGATTTTTTTACTTCGTCACGTTTTGAAAACGGATTACGACATGCTCACGTATATATTTCCCTCTTTAGTTTCTCTCTGTTTCTTTTTTTTTCTCCCCATCCTGTCCCGTTTAACAAGCATATGGAGCCTCCAAGTTTTTAGATTGTGACAAAAAAATTATTTAGTCGTCTACTATTGTGGTGATGATTTAATGAACATCATTTGTATTGTTTGTATAATAAGTAATCGATCTAACGTAAGAAATTTACTATTTCGGAAATATTTTTCAGAATCTGTTTTTGGAAGACTGATTTTCAACTTTTGTGTATTAGTGACCCAATTTTTCATGTGACCTTTTTTAAAACAAGTTTTAATGGGGGGCCACTCACTTTACAAAAGTCACTTAATTTTTCAATTACCATAACTAAAAGAAACTATTACCTTTGATTTATTTTTAAAGTAATATAAATACTACATGACTTTAAAAAAAAAAAAATTAACGAGTAATAGTACGGATACGAGTACCTTATGAAGTTCCTAATATTAATAATTGATATTAAAACAAATGCAAGTTAATCAAATTTAATCATTTCCGTGAATGTCAACCGATGAAGTATGTTTAAACCATTGAATGACCAAAGTTTCAAAACATGAATTTATACTTGTTTATAAAGAAAAATAGTTTACGAAAAATGTTTCATTTTTTTTTTAAAAAACTATTTATACAGGTAGTCTAAAATAAAAGTATAATTTGGTTATCATTTTATTCTTTTGGTTACCCATCGAAAATTATTTGATACCCAAAATTGGGTTACGGACCCTATGGTTGAGAAACAATATATTTTAAACATTTAAGGAATAATAATACCTCTAAATCTAAAATGTTACAATATTGTTATTTTTTGTCACCCTTATTAAAGGATATGAAACCACTAGTCACTACTTTTGATTCATACATACGCGGGTTGACAGAAATTAAAAAATTGATGTTGACATTTCAACAATAAAATGTATTAAAACTAAAACTTCATCTATTTATAGCATTTTCAATAAAGGTTGCTATTTCAAAATCAAAAGTGGTTAGTTGTTTCACTCCCAAAAATAAGGAAGACAAAAAAAAATAAAATTTTAAAATTATTTGTGTTTTTAAACGTTCCAAAAACCTACTTCGAAA